CATGCTGGCTGGGGAATTCTGGGAGTTGAAGTCCACTCATCTTAAAGTGGCCAGGTTTGGATAACACTGCACTACATCATTCTGACCAAACTCATGCATGTCTGTCCTGCCAAGGGCTTGTCAGAGCTCTCTGTCTTCTCCATCTGACTCTGGCTTGGGATCCTCAGATTTATAGGAGTTCAAGCCTCATCCTAAGCTTCTGTTTCCAAGGCAAACCTATAGGGACTTACCACCATTTGCTAATGAATTCTACAGAGGATGCATGACATCATAATAATGAATAGGATTATTATGCTATTAGTTTAGTATGCTATTTTTTAAATTAGCCAATTTAATTAGTCAGAGCTATATTAACAACCCATTTAAAGTGCAGGGGGCAGGGAATTCAAAAAAGGAGAATGATGTTGCCTCAACCTAAATGTGATTGATCACTGCTCCATGTCAGATGCAAACTAAATGAGAAAAAAATGCTGAATACAAATTTCAGACCACACCTCAGTATCTATGATTGTAGCCTTAAGTAAAACCTAAAAAACAAATCCTTCTCCATGCAGGATTTATACACTTCGTTTTGTAGGCTTTTTGTCTACTTTTCAGTGAAGTTGCCAAAGGGTTCTTTCAATACATTGTAGGACTATTGATTTACTTATTTTACAACATGTATAGCCTGCTCTAGTCTAAACAGACTCTGGTCAAGGTACAACAAAATCAAGACAAAAATAAGACATTAAAGATCATATATGGATAATAAAAATAATCAGTACAAATCTGACACATCATAGTGTCATTCAATTAAACTAACCTAAAGGCCAAATGGCTGTGGAACAAGACTGCTTTGACTACCTTCTGAAATGCCTGTAGAAGGAGGCTGTCGGTACCTCCAAGGAGGGAGGTCCCATAATAGGGGGCTAGCATGCCACCTGGCCTGTGCCTCATGAACTTTCTACGAAGGGGAGACCTGCAACAGGCCCATTCTACATGACCAGACCAGAAGAGCAGATTTGACTTGAACATTGTCTCTCTGCACCATGAAGAGTGAGCACCATGAATTTAGCCTGCAAGCCTACTGGGAACTAATGAGGGACTTCAAAATAGTTGTCATTCCCATCTGACTGGATTGACCCATGAGGAGTCTAGCTGCAACACTTTGTGCCAACTGTAGTTTCCATGTCCTCTCCAATGGCAGCCCTACATAGAGAGCATTGCAGTGATTCAGGTAGATGGTAATCAGGCATGAGTTGCAGTCAGCAGTCTGCCTTGGTTCAGGAAAGTTTACAACTGGTGCACTAGCCAAGTCTGGGTGAAGGTTCCCTGGCAGTAGCTTCCCCCAGCTGTTTAAGCAGGAGCCATGAGTCTGGAAGAATCCTAAATTTATGAATCAACTCCTTTGCAAGCACCGTAACCCCATCCAAATAATCACCCGAGCCATCGTTACAAGACTGCACCTATGTCTATTGATAGCAAGCAACTCTGTCTTGGTAGGAATTAATCTGATCTTTTTTTGTCCCTTACAGATCCTCACCGCCCTCAGACACTGGGTTAGCACTTCAACAGCATCTCTGTCATAACCTGGGGTGGCAGTGTATAACTGCATGTTGTCATCATATCAATGATATCACAACCTGAATAGTGAATTACCTTTCCCAGAAGTTTAAGGTAGATGTTAAATAACATGAGGGAAACACCAAAACGTGAGGAACCCACATTGGAGTTCCCATGGGCTCAAGTGCTGTTCCCAAATGACTATCAGCTCGAAAGTCTCACTGAGATAATAGCAGAATTCTCATAATACAATGCCTCCAACTCCCAATCTCCGTAGCGTAGCGTAGCGTAGCGTAGCGCAGCGCAGCGCAGCACAGCACAGCACAGCACAGCACAGCACAGCACAGCACAGCACAGTATAGTTGATGAGAAATCTAATAGATCAAAGAGGGCACACTCCACCTATTGAAATCCCAATGGAGATCACCAACCAGAGCAACCAATGCCATTTCTGTTCCATAACCATCTAAGAATTCTGGAGTTTTAGGTAATCTAGTTGACCTAGGATCCTCTGTAGCTGATTTGCTACCATTATCTCAACTACTTTTGCAAGAAAGAAAAGGTCATACACTGGGCAAAGGTTGTCAGCCTCCTCCTTCTCCTCTTCTTCTGCCTTCAAGTCAATCTTGGCACCATTTGCAGGAGTGGTTTCACCTTCTTTAGACATCCAAATATGCCAAGAAGAGCACAGATCAATCTCACAGTTGATAAAAGACCTATCCACTTGCTCAGGTTCCACAAACTAGCAACACAAGCCTAATAATAATAAACCAACTAAACCACAGCAAAAATGAGTGAAATTATATGCCAAGAAATCCACAAATTTATCCAGCATGCTTGCAGAGGTTTGTTCCAACCTTGTTTTCCAGAAAGGTCGGGATGACTCTGAACAGGGCTTCTGAATAAGAATTGGCAAATTCAGTAAGCTCAGAGAAGAATTGGTGCTTTGACATTCTAATTGCCACTGTGTAGGCTTGAGCATGAGTTCTTACCACTCCTTGGCCAGTCTTGGTGTTTTGCCACCATTTCTGTAGGCATTTTTAAGTTTCTTCATTTCCCTCAGCTTCTTAGTACACCAGTGAATCCATTAGGCACCTGGGACAGATCACCCTAAAGGGACTGCTGCTTTTACAAAGTTTCAGGGCCACCATGATCC